GGATTTACTCACGAATTCTGATACAGCTCGGGGGGGGGGGGGGGAGATGATGGAAAATAAAGAAGTTAGCATCATTCTGCTCAACAAGCTTCAGCTTCTCCTCCCTAGCCCTCGGCCTCAGAAATGTGTCTGCTCCTCGCCCAGAGGAGATGCAGGCGCGGGATTACACCGGTTTCTAATCCCTTGTTTCAGCATCCGTGTCCCTATTCGCATTTTGCCCCACGCGGGACCTACGCTGAACAAAGGCCCCAGCTTTCCCGGCTCTAACAAAGATGCTCCAGCCACCTCCCTGCGCGCCGCACAAGCGCCTCCGGATTGGTTGGATTACCGTCCAATAGGAAAGAAGAGCCGGCGTCCGCTATTTACATAAATCCCTAGCCGCCCACGCGCGCGGCCGGCCGGCCAATCGGATCCCAGAGTTTGGAGCCTTCATTTGAATATGGAGATAATAGATAAATATCACTGCCAGCGTAGTGCTAGCGTCTCCGCGCCGCCTTCAGGGGCGCTGTCCCCGCTGCGCCGTTCCCCCGGCCCCTGCCGCCTCCGCGCCTCCCTGCCCTGCGGAGCCCTCCCGATCGGCCCCCGCGCCCAAGAAAGGCTCCAAGAAGGCCGTCACCAAGGCGCAGAAGAAGGACGGCAAGAAGCGCAAGCGCAGCCGCAAGGAGAGCTACTCCATCTACGTGTACAAGGTGCTGAAGCAGGTGCACCCCGACACGGGCATCTCGTCCAAGGCCATGGGCATCATGAACTCGTTCGTCAACGACATCTTCGAGCGCATCGCCAGCGAGGCCTCCCGCCTGGCGCATTACAACAAGCGCTCGACCATCACGTCCCGCGAGGTGCAGAGCTGGCCAAGCACGCCGTGTCCGAGGGCACCAAGGCCGTCACCAAGTACACCAGCTCCAAGTGAGGCGCACCGGCCACCCCGGAACACAAAGGCTCTTTTCAGAGCCACCTGTGCTCACAAAGGAGCGTGCCACCCGGGCTGGTTGTGACGGCCTGGGGGAGCGGACTGCGGGACCTGGCCCGAAGCCGAGCTCCTGTACAGGGGTGTCTCCCTGAGCCAGACCCCGGAGACGGGGACCCGGTGAGGTGAGGACCCGCACCACCTCCAGGAAGGCCTCGGGCGACCTCCCCACCAGCCCCCTGTGTCCCTTCGTGGGTGAGACCGAGGTTCGCTGCGCGCCACCGCCGCTAGGCCCTGAGTGCTGTCGTGTGGCCGTGGCCCCTAACCCGGCGATGAATTGAAGCAGCTATTCTCGGGAGTTGCGCGCTTCCGTTGGAAAGAGCAGGACTGTGGGAGCATAGTGGCTCCATCGCCCTGGTCCCCTAGAATTCTTCCTATGGTTGTTTGCTTCCCCCCCCCCCCCGAAAATCGTGAATACTTTTATTATAAACCCACCAAAGGGCAAAAGCCTTTTTCAGGAAAGGAATGGAGGGCTTTTAAGGAAAGAAAAAAAAAAAAAAAACAGGTAAAGCACATGCAAAGTGGGTGCAATCAGCCTGCTGCATAAGGGCAGGCCTGACAGGCTGGGCCAGGCTGCTGTCACCCTGAAAACATCCCCCTGTGCCTCAGACTGTCACATCTCTGAGAACACCACCCAGAGTGTTCTGACCTCCCTGGGTTTGGGTGCACCTGGGTGCCCGAGGTGGGCTGGGTTGAGCCAGTCCTGTACCTCAGGGACTTGCCCATCTCTAAAAACATTTCACCACTTATAGTCAGTTCTTTCTTTGCTTCTGTAGCTTTTATGAAAGGGACAGCCCCTCCCTCTGCATCTTTGGTTACCGCAGAGCAGTTAGCAAATTTGACTTGAGATTTTTAGCTGAGGTGGGGAGAGGCTCACATGGGATCCCTGCAAAATCCCTCGGGGCCTTCCAGATCTGAGCGATTCCCCGTTATCTCAAACCCAGAGGTTTCTGCAGCTGTGTTGGGTCCTCACTCTCCAAGCCTGTGCACTGCCAGTACGGCACACCCCCAGCAGCCTCCAGCCAATCGTAAATCACGTGTCCCTCTGTCGCAGCGGATTTACAGAGGTGGGCTCAGCATTCAGTGTCCTTCCATCTTCCTGATGATAAATTCTCAACAGCAGAGACTGTGTCACCCTGCATCTCCCTGAATGGGTTCCTTGGTCGGAGAGGGCCAGCCAGGTCCGTTCTGCGCCTGGGGCTGCTGCTGGCTGCCTCTGCAGCCTCCACCATACTGTAAACAGAGGCAGTCTTTATTTTTATTTTTTTACTTCTGTGTGCCAGAGCAGCCAAAGGACTGAGAAATTAACATTTTGCTTCATCCACAATGAAACATGTTCATACTATTGTATTTGGGAACTCTTTATTTTGCTTTTTGATTTCATTTTTGGAACTAAATAAACAGTATTGTTGCCTACTGCTAGCACAGTCACACATTGCTGGAGATCAGTCTCATTGTAGTGAAATTAAGCCAGGCAGAGAATTAGGTGGCTCTGGGAGACTACATTCCTGTGACCAGAAGTGCTCATGAAGAGACTGACTCCTGATCAACCTGGGTACAAGGCTGGGGACTCAGGCCCATCAGGAGGCCCCTGCTTCATAGTGGAAGACTGGATTCTGTGGTGTTCCATATGAATTAGACATCTCTTAGGATTCAAGGCGTTGATTTTGATGATACATCACTGTTTCCAAATTTGGGGATTATAACTAGAAAGGAAAGAATTGAGTAAAATACCCATGCCAAAATTTCCGTATCTATGGGTTTGTTTGGGTTTTGTTTTGTTTTTCTTTTTGGTAAATATTGTTTCAGAGCATGTATCTAAAAAAGAAAATAAAGGGAAAGCAATGATGCACACCGCTATCACTGTAATCATAACAATACCATCCGTGCCCATGGATGAATAGCCAATAGGGTAGAGAACCACCATTAATCTCACTGAAGACCTAGGTCTCCCTAAAATTCTAAATGACAATTACTTACAATTGTCTATCTTTGCTACCTACCCAAACGTATGTTTTCATGATCGCATACTGTTCAGATGATTTTTTTTAATTTTTTTTTATTTACTTATGATAGTCACAGAGAGAGAGAGAGAGAGGCAGAGACACAGGCAGAGGGAGAAGCAGGCTCCATGCACCGGGAGCCCGACGTGGGATTCGATCCTGGGTCTCCAGGATCGCGCCCTGGGCCAAAGGCAGGCGCTAAACCACTGCGCCACCCAGGGATCCCTGTTCAGATGATTTTTTAAACACTTTTTGCCCCCCTACAAGTATTTTTAAATTTCAATTTACATACATTTTTTAAATTTTTTGATAAGTAGTAGATAAGACACTGTTAAAATATATCTTACATTTGGGTGAAATTCTGAGACAAGTGCAATGAGAATGAGTTCCGAGAGAAAAAAATGGTCATCTACACCATCTCACTGTTAATGAGGAAATCTGATCATGTTTTATGAATTGATTATGGTATCAAATTGCTATTGCAATATATACCTTGAAAAGATTGATGTGATCGTGTGTCAACCACCTCTCAATAAAAAGGACTTTGAATATGTATAAAAGATCAAGAACTTTTAAAATATTCCAAATTCTCTTTAAAAATTGTTGTGGGCCATTTTGGTTTCTTAAAACGTCCTGTTGGGATTTGCGTCCTTGTAACTATCAGAACTAAGGATAAAAATATTTTAGATGAAAAATGTGTGAGGTTTTACATCCCCTTAGACTGGACTCGGGTGGGAAAAGGAATGGGTGGCTGGGCTTCCAGCCGCTGGGCGAAGGAAGGAAGGCTCGGTGGGACATTCCCGCCCAGACCTCCTGCCCAGCCTGGCATTGACCACCCAACCGGCTTCCTTCAGAGAGAGGATTTATCCTTTTTCATTGAGCTTCTGTCCCCTGCTTGGGACGAGGACATGGCCTCTCAATACATGAGTCTCAGAACGGCTCAAGAGAGTGATTGATAGCAAACCGCTGATTTACAAAACCAAAGGAAAAGGCAAAGCGACGTCCTTTCCCAATTGAAGACTCTTCGCGCCAAAGGCAAGGCGACACTTTCCAAATAAATGCCGTAAATTCTTTCAAAGAGAGAGGGTGGCAGCCCGGGTGGCTCAGCGGTTTAGCGCTGACTTCAGCCCAGGGCGTGATCCTGGAGACTCAGGATCGAGAACCCACGTCGGGCTCCCTGCATGGAGCCTGCTTCTCCCTCTGCCTGCCTCTGCCTCTCATAAATAAATAAAATCTTTAAAGAGAGAGAGAGAGAATTCTGCGTCACTAACGCTTCCCAGAAAATAACAGTGTGGCTGATAAGGGAGAGGGCTCCCTCCCCCCGCCCAGAATGGGAGGAATTACAGAAGGAATAATTTTCCTCTAGAACCGACTTACCCCCGGCCCCATTTAGTCTAAAGCTGCCGCAGCAGGGGTCGGCTTAGCACATCTGCCTCCTACTCAAGGAACGCTTCCATCTCTCTTTCGATTGTATTTTGCCAGTTGCACGATCCAGCCACTAACATATCCTCCGGGAAATGTTCACCGCGTGAGGACGGAGGTCTCTGGTCCAGGGGGGGACGCGGGTCTCGGTGGATGCAGGTCCCCCCCCCCGCCTCCCTCGCTCCCCTCGCCCCCCCTCCCCGCCCCCCGGGGCTGCGCAGCAACCAAGTTCTCACCTCCGGGTTTCATTCATCAGGAACTTGGCAGGTGGGAGGGAGAACTGGCACGATGTCCTCCTGAAAAAGGTGACCCGCGCCCCTCCCCCACGGGCGCACTGCAAGCGCAGGCAAGCGAGAGCCTCAGGCGGTCCACGCGCGAACAGGCCAGGGCGGGGAGTCCGGGGGGGGGGGGTGTTCCCGCCGCGCAGGCGCACTCGGAGGTCAGCAAGGGATGGAGCCTGCGCCCGCTTGGACTGGCGGTGCGTCAACAGCCCTGGCCACGGCGGGGCGGGGCGGGGGGGCTGTTAACACCGCACACCTCTGTGAGCGCAGACCCGCACCCCCTCATCCCGTTCTCAGACACCCAGGCGCGCGCACAGACCCAGAAGAACCACCTGGGGTCCCGGAACCGAACGAGTTCACAGGACAACCCTTCACCGTGTTCGAAACCCTTTTTCCGATTGTGTGGGTGGCTCTGAAAAGAGCCTTTGTGTTCCGGGGTGGCCGGTGCGCCTCACTTGGAGCTGGTGTACTTGGTGACGGCCTTGGTGCCCTCGGACACGGCGTGCTTGGCCAGCTCGCCGGGCAGCAGCAGGCGCACGGCCGTCTGCACCTCGCGGGACGTGATGGTCGAGCGCTTGTTGTAATGCGCCAGGCGGGAGGCCTCGCTGGCGATGCGCTCGAAGATGTCGTTGACGAACGAGTTCATGATGCCCATGGCCTTGGACGAGATGCCCGTGTCGGGGTGCACCTGCTTCAGCACCTTGTACACGTAGATGGAGTAGCTCTCCTTGCGGCTGCGCTTGCGCTTCTTGCCGTCCTTCTTCTGCGCCTTGGTGACGGCCTTCTTGGAGCCTTTCTTGGGCGCGGGGGCCGATTTAGACGGATCAGGCATGGTCGCAAACCTCTCCGAACAAAACGAGCAGAAGGCTGCAGCCGGCATTTATACATCCCGTATGCAAATGAAGGATCCAAAGCTGCTCGTTCCTGATAGGCTTGGATGCTGCTGAACGTCATCCCCGAACAGGCGCATGCAAATCAGAGGATGGCGGCCTGCGCTTCTGATTGGTGACCGGCGCTGTCCAACGGGACGAAGCCGGCTCCACTACCCCCGGACCATATATAAGCGGTCGGCGGGCCCGGCAGCGCGGTTTCTGTGGGCGTTCTCTCCCGGCTCCCGCTCTCTTCGTGCCCCTCGCGGAGATGTCTGGCCGAGGCAAGCAGGGCGGCAAGGCGCGCGCCAAGGCCAAGTCCCGCTCGTCCCGGGCGGGGCTGCAGTTCCCGGTGGGCCGCGTGCACCGCCTGCTCCGCAAGGGCAACTATTCGGAGCGGGTCGGGGCGGGCGCGCCGGTGTACCTGGCGGCCGTGCTGGAGTACCTGACGGCCGAGATCCTGGAGCTGGCGGGCAACGCGGCCCGCGACAACAAGAAGACGCGCATCATCCCGCGCCACCTGCAGCTGGCCATCCGCAACGACGAGGAGCTCAACAAGCTGCTGGGCCGCGTGACCATCGCGCAGGGCGGCGTCCTGCCCAACATCCAGGCCGTGCTGCTGCCCAAGAAGACCGAGAGCCACCACAAGGCCAAGAGCAAGTGAGGCCGCTGAGGCGGGCCGGCCACGGCTGTGCGCCCCAGGGGCCCCGTGACACCAAAGGCTCTTTTAAGAGCCACCCACAGCCTCCGCAAAAGAGCCGCACTGAGCACGCAGCCTGAGCCTGTCCAGGCGCCGCCGCCTCCTGCGAGGCGCACGGGGAAGCTGGGCAAGACCTGGGTGCGCTCGCGCACCTAGTGGGCGCCTGTGCGGGTGTGCGCGGGACACGTGGGCGGCCTTGGCCTTCCACCCAGCCTCCTCCCTCCTCCGCGCCCCCGGTAGTTTCGGGAAGGGTCAGCTATGGCTGGAGATCACTGCCTCTGGATGGATGCCTAGAGTGATCCTCTGGCCCCTGTAGACTCCAATACAGGCTGTCCGCTTCCGAAGCAGGCTCACCTGGTGTTGCAGATGGGCAGTTTATGCAGAGCACCTGCTTTTGGGGGGCCCCTACATAAACCTTAACGATTTACACTTTCAAACATAAAGATGCTTGACTGAGCAGTGGACATTGCAAACTAGAAACATGAGGTCCACCCGAGTTAATCTGGGCGTGAATGTCTTGCAAAGGGTTTGTGTTCGAAAACCATTTGCAGCATTTTAAAAATCCTATTTTTAAAAAGTGTAGACTTGGGATCCCTGGGTGGCGCAGCGGTTTGGCGCCTACCTTTGGCCCAGGGCGCGATCCTGGAGACCCGGGATCGAATCCCACGTCGGGCTCCCGGTGCCTGGAGCCTGCTTCTCCCTCTGCCTGTGTCTCTGCCTCTCTCTCTCTCTCTCTGTGACTATCATAAAAAAAAAAAAAAAAAGCGTAGACTTTTAAATCTTAATGTAAGTAAAATGTTCAAAGCCGTTCAGTTGTTCAATCTGGATGGGTCACACGTAAATCCGAATCCCTTAACCCGATGGCTAAAATCAGAGTAAGATAATTTTGTCCATGGAGTTTGGTCAGGAAAACTAGGTTTGTGAATTTAGTGGGTGGAAAGTCAACACTGAGGATCGGATTATGTAATACACGTGTGGCTATTTAGGAGGACGCCTGTTCATGAGCTCTACATTCTGCAATAAAGGGGGAGTGGGACAGTCCCCAGGGTCCTGGCAAAGTCTGGAGAATTAGCACCCACCTCATGGGGCAGGAGGGGTTAAGTGTTTCATTCGTGATAATTCCTTTAAAACAATGTCTGCCACAGAAAAGGCCTGATAACTGTTTGTTATTCCTGTTATCAATATCATTGTTTTTGTTAATTTTATAGCAATAAAGAGAGGCCAGTAAGTGAATTCAGGAATATTATGTAATTTGTATTTGACTTACTAAAATTAGGTCTACTCAAACCAGGGCTCCCCAGACACCATCTGGGGCTAACCGCACATCTGCTGGGCCTAAAAAAATATCCTAGTGCTATGAAAGTAGTTCACACCAGGGATGTGCACGCATGCTCTGTCCGCATGGACCCGGGCACAGGACTCCGCACAGTGAGGTAGGTCCAGAGCGTACAACCCAGCAAGCCCCATCTCTGTGCAGCCGCAAGGACTGTCCAGGAGACCACGGAGCCTCTGGAAATCAAGCTGGCCATTAGGTTCCCAGTGACAGTCTTCAACTCCGGCCCACATTTGTGTCTAAGCATCAGTATTGATGTAGGTCATTGAATGTCTTCACCCCCCTCAGTGGCGTTTAAGAAACACTTTCCAGGGTGCAGGGGGCTTTGGGATGCCAGGGTATCTCCACAGAGCTCCCAATTTCCTCATTCCTCAAGTGAGACTCTGAGAGGGGGGCAGGGAGGTGGCTAACACTGCCCTCAGAGGCAGCCTTCGTTTGTTGTCTCCACAGCTGAGCTGTTCCCCATACAGAGCACCAAACACCAAGGGACATTTGGTTTTCCATGATTAAGCACTGAAGGCAGGGACACAGGTTTCCAGCCGCCGTCGCCACAGGTGGCCAGCTGACAGTACTTGGTACGGCACGGGTACAGAACAGCTCCACCACTGGGAAGGTTCCACTGGACAGCTCTGGCCTGCCATCTCATCATCTGTCAGGAGTTACCTGGTTCAGAAAGGTGAAGAAACATCAGAGCCAGCCCACCGCTGTGAGACAAAGGCCAGCAGACCCTGGCTTCAGTGGGAAGGCGCCACCTGGCCCAGCAAGTCTACCCCCCGGGTGTACGCAGGGGCCAGTCGCAGTCTGAGCAGCACGATGCCATGCAGGTGAACACACAAACGTGTGGTCTGTCCAAACAGAGTGCCCGTCAGCCACGGTTGAGCCTGAGAAATGCGTTGGTGAGACAACCTGACAAAGAGGCCATGTAGGGGTGACTCCCCTTATAAGAAACAGCTGGAATGGGCAGCTCCACAGGGGTGGAGGCAGCTCCCTCAGTTGTCAGGGGCTGGGCGAGGAGGGGGGCACACTGCTGTGGCAGGACACACTCCCTCCCCTATCCTGGGATTATTGCCACTGTTCTGCCCCTATCCCTGTGAGAGGTGAGCCAAACAGGTACAAAGCCCCACAGCAAGAATGCAGAACCACCCAGGCCCATTGCCTGGAAAGTGGTCCCAGCTTCCAGAACTCTCCACCACTCTGACTGGCTCCTGCCCTGGGCCTGGGTCTGTACCCTGCCCCAGCCCAACATTTGCTCTCTCCTCCTTGCTCCGTTCAGTCTCATCTTTTTACCGACATGTTTAAGAATTTCCCAAGTGGGGCACCTGGCGGGCTCAGTCAATAAAGTCATACCTTTATGATACCATAAAGCTCAGGTCATGATCCCCGGGGTCCTGGGACTGAGTCCGCATCAGGCTCCCCCTGGGGAATCTGCTTCTCCATCTGCCTGTGTCTTTGCCTCTCTCTTTCTGTGTCTCTCATGAATAAATAAATAAAATAAATATAAAAATAAATTATAAATCTCCCAAGTGGGCAAGCATAAAGGACTCTCTGAACCCCTGTGTTCGCTTAGACCCTGAATTAGGCCGTTAGGGGACACGCCTTGAGGAGGACCAGGCCAGCCAGCTTGAGGGCTGTCAGGTGTGGGCTGCGCTGAGGGGGCTCTGTCGCCTGGAGGTCCTACGCCTGGTCATCACAATTGACCTCGTGCTCCCAGCAGGGTCTGTTTCCCTGCATTTCTGACCAAGCCTCACCAAGGCTCAGCTTTTCTCCCATGCCCACCCAGCAAAAGCTTTAAAATCCCACTCCCCCCTACCCCTGCCCCATGCCCACTTCCCTCCCCACAGGTGGCTTGGCTGCAGTGCTCTCCGGGGACTCAGCATCCTGGTGCTGTGATCACCCTTCCTGTCAACACTGCCCCCAGGCCTCCAGGACACCCTCTCTTACCCACTGCCCTGTCCTCAGCTTGCCCCAGAGGGGGCAACCCTTCTGGGGTTCTGTCTTGACTGTTTCCTCCTGAGGGATGATGGATCAGCCCAAAATGTTCCAAGTGCTGGGTCTCAGGGTCAGTGGTTGGAGCCAGCCTCCCCAGGAAAGCTGGTGGCTGCCGACCATGCTGGAAGCTGGCTCGTGGGTATTGGGGATCAGCTGGGGGGGTTCACTGAGGGGGATGACCTAGGGGGGCAGCTGGAAGGTGGGAGGGGGGGTGGATTAACCTGGTGGGTCAGTGTGGAGTCAACCAGGAAGGCACTGGTCTTGGGGGCCTCCTTCCCGCGGCTGAGCACCTTGTTTCTTCTGACATATAGTATCTCTCCAAGGACAATTCAGGCTTCCTTACACCTTCCGGGGAAAAAAAAATTCCCCAGGACCGCTGAGGGTCAGCCTGCACACCAGGACTCATGCCCCATGCTGGGGCTCATGGGTCCCCTGATGGGGAAACCTCCACATGGGGCAGCCGTGAGAGCTACGCTGTGGTGCACACAGGTCCTGTGCTGCAACAAGAGGCTTCCTCTGTCCTCCTGCTCTCCTTCCAGCCGGCCCATCAGTGGTGCCTGATGTGGTCCATGGCAGCCATGTCTCCACTCCACCTGGGAGCTCTCCTTTCTCCCAGTGCCAGGCTGCCCCTTGCATCCCAGGCACACCCCCACAGCAGCACCTCCTGGTCCTCCCCTAGCCAGGGACGCCCACCAGGAGACCATCAGCAAATCAGGAGTGTCGGGGTGCAGATCCTCTCCGGGTCACTGGAGACATCCTAGTTCTGGCCCCCACCTGCAATGTGCTCCCCACCCCAAATACACATGGCCCTGTCCTAATGCCTAGAACTTGTGAGTGTGATCGTATGTGGGCTAACTAAAGGATCTTGAGGTGAGGAGGTCATTCTGGGGTGGAGACTGGACTCAAACATGCATGGGAGGCCCCACCGTCAGCGGGAAGGCTTGAGGCAGCTGGGAGGACTGGACACAGGTGTGCATGGGATCTCCTCCGCAGAGAGCCCTGTCCTAATTGGCAGCTCACCCCATCTCTTCCACCTTGCTCCTGCCCTGAGTCTTAAATGGATTTAATAAACCACCTGGTTTGGGCTTGATGGGCCTATGAGCCCCTCCCAGCCAAGGCCTATCGTGACCTTGGAGGGCACATCAGCCTCCAGCATGCCCTCCATCGGGCAGTTGGAGGCCCCCTTATGCAGGCAAGCCCGACAGGCTGCTCCCCATGGCACCACTCTGCTCCCCGCCCCTCATGGTGAGGGATGCTATGCGGGACTCTCAATTCCCCCCCACCCACCCCCCCACACACACGGCAAGACAAGCCCAATCCACCCTGATGCCCAAGGACAGCTGTGCATTCACAGAGGTGCAGCCGGGCAAGTGACCGTACCAGTGTGCAGGACTCGAGGTGTGCGTCCATGTGATCGACACTTGGCTGACACTGTGACCTGCTGTCTTCACAGGCCCGTGCATGCCTGGCTGGAGCAGCTCTAGCTGTCAGGTCCCTGCCCGGAAACCGCCCAGGGGCTGCAAACGGCCAACTCCAGGTGTGCTTGGGAAGGAGTCACTAAGGTAAGGAAATCGGGGACCCAGAATGCAAGCCACTGCTCCGCAGGCTCCTAGGGCGACCGAGGGGCTCCCGCGGCACCCCACCTCCCCACTACTGCCCTGGCTAAGAATCTGGGGTACCTGCCGTGTTCTGTGCCCTGGCAGCCCACCCGGGCCTTGGCTCTGGCCTGCAGCGGTGTGGCGTGCGATGACCCCGGAGCTGCGGGCTCTCCCCTCACCCTGCCCTCCACTCGGGGTGCCTCCCATCACCGGCCACACTGTTTCCATCCTCCCTGCATACCGGGGTACGTGCGGGTCCAGTTGGGCGTGCTTAAGAACCAAATAGCCAAATATGTCAAACAAAATATGTAAAAATGTAACACAACCTTATTTCCTCTTTGTAGAAACTGAACATTCTAATTACCCCTGGGCCTGGACTTGCTGTTGACGGCTGATGGAGGGCAGGCGGAGGTGCTCTTAGGGGACTGAGCCCCGAGCCTGTGGGGTCTGACGCTGTCTCCATGTAGATGCGGTCACAACTGACTTAAACCAGTGGGACGTGCAATGTCCTCTGAGGCCTGGAGAAATGTTTAGTGACCTTGCCAAACACATTGGATTTAGGATGGGTTTTTTTGTTGTTTTTTACTCAAAACATGATTTTGGTGGGACGCCTGGGTGGTTCAGCGGCTAAGCATCTGCCTTAGGCTCAGGGCAATCCCAGGGT